CAACTTAACGCTTTATGATCGGCTTCTCGTAGGCTCGTGCTTGGTTTATCTTTCTTGTGAGCATCGAACCGGAATCTTGGATTTCAGTTTTGGCACTAAGAGTGCTCGCATCCTTTTTTTTAATTTCGACCTTCCAATTTACAACGCTACTGAGCGAAACATGGACACTCTCAAGAATTGACATCGTATCTCTAGCTAAGAATCGACATTCCATCTACTATAATACTTAAAACGTAGTAGTATTCATCCTCGTACGAGAACTTCTCCACATAGCCTCCACATCATTCAGCACTCCAGGCTGGACAGACAGACTGTGCCGTCGTAAGCCACCAATGGTGTTGGCAACAGTGATTGAAAAAAAATTGGCCTTTACGGCGTAAGAATATTTTTCTTGAAGTGTCTTATAATTGTCAACGGGAACCCAGTACAAATATAAATTACGTACGAGGAAAATATTGCAATGCATTATTGCAACCATCTTGCGAATTGCCCAGGTTGCTCCAACATGCCTACTGCGCTGCAGAGCAAAAGCTGATGGTATGAGCTACGCGTGTACTAGCCTAGAGCGCATAATTAGCCTTAAAACAATGAGAACACGATGGATTTTAGCAGGACTGGCCTCGATAAGCCTTTATCAAACAGTCTGCAGCGTCTTGGTTTTAACTGAAGCAGCAGCCGTAGGGTACACTTAAGAGCTACCAGCTTCGTAAGTCGCAACATGATTTTGCTGGAGCGGTTTGCGCCCACACAACCCCATGTTGTGATGCCCTTCGGCTTGCTTCAGAAATGCAATATTGTATTTAAAAGTGATGCTTTGCAAAGAGGTACATAACTGCAGCTTTGATCACTATTTCAATAAACTATTGCATGAGGAGAAACTATTGCAGTGGAAACGGCTGTGTGGCACCCCAGATTTTACAGTTAAGTTATCGTGGCTCAAATTACGTTTAGAACATTTAAAAACAAAATGCGATTTTTGTGTGTTGTAGGTATTACTACGTAGTACTAGGGGGGGGGGCAATGGCTATGTTATATTGACTTCTCGATGACACGTAGTACTAGTAATACCCAAGAACGGCCGAACCATTATCACATAATTATTTTGTAATATGCTTGCGAATGAATGCTTCATCCCGGCATAAACTCTTCATATTGTTATTCTGGTGAGTACAACGAGTGGTTCAAATTTCGATCTTAGCTCATCAATACACTGAAGTATGCATGCTCGCGCACGTTGGTCCGTTCATAGTACAGTGTAACAACGCTAGTTACAATACATTAAACCACTGCCACCTGGCACTGATAGCGTAGTGAGCATACTCCCGTCGAGCGCTCTAGCCGGCCGAGGGCAGCGAAGTAGCACCACTGCTCTGAGCAGCCATGTCGTTGGCGCTGTTGTCCGTAGGCATTTCACCGAACATTGGACCTTGACTCTTCTCCTTCTTGTGCTGCACTTTGAGGCGCTTGCGACCCACTTGAAAGCCGTTCATCCCCTTAATCGCAGCTTCAGCGGAC